GCACAGGACATGGGGAGGCTATTAAAGCCCAGTGTGTTACTTATTCTCAGTCACTCCTGAAGAAGAAGCCCCACAATCTCTGACTCTGAATGTTGGTTGTGTCGTACTGAAAGCTGAGTATTTGTTGCTGATGCAGCTTTCTCTTAGCACCAGGTGAGCTGTACCAGCCCAGGCTTCTTCCCATATGCAGAAGAGGAATCATGTGGATGTCTCTCAGTATGTCCTTACCATCCTGCTGTATCACAGGCTGTGTGTCCTGTCGTGTGGGTGGAGTCCTGCACACCCTCTGAAACCACGGTGCAGCGGGCACCCCCAGCCCAGGGCCACAGCCTCAAAGGAAGTGCCACCCCCTTACTTCCTTAGGGAGATGGAGAATGACTGGGTCACATTACAGGTTCTGGGGATTCAGTCTTCCTGTCAGGGTGGACATCAGTGCCATTCCCCAGGCCTGTGCTCCAAAACCTCATGTGGACAGGATCCTTGGAGCACACCTGGAACAGAAAAGAAAAATGGGAATGATCTGGCCTCAGAGTGCAGATATACCAGGCATGAGACACCAGATAGACCTGGTACTAACTATTCAGTACTGCAGTGTGTGTCCCAGACACTGTGGAATCTACAGACCTGTTAACTGAGCATAAGAGAGGAAGGTGCTAATGTGAAATTGTTTGTTCACACTGAGACGCTTCAGTACAGTAATTCCATGTGCTGGAACAACATGTGCTAATTCCCACAGCTAGGAAACCCCTAGTTAAGAGGAGGGGCTGGGCCTGTTCTGCTCAGATACTGATTTGTATCTGTGTAGAAGAGGAATGCAAGTGCCCTGGGCCGGTAAGCTGAAGCCCACATCCAGAGCCCACGTGTCCAGCACATGGCACAGGCTCCCTTTCCACAGGACAATGGGCTCTGGAACAGGTACCCATGCTCAGCTCTTGGGCAAAGTCTCTGTACCAGCAAGTTCTGGGAGGGCAGAATATTTGGGACATGGCAGGAGGGACTCTGCATGTTACCTGACAGCAGCAGACAAGACATCTTGCCTTCAATGTCAGTATAATGAATGTGAGATCTCACATGAGACCCACCTCTGTGACAAAGTGGACCTGTGTTTCTAAATTCCTACCATTGACCTGGACCGGGAGGGAACATGCTGCAAAGGAACCAAACTGAATTCCTACCTTTTAA